TAGCTAGTTAATATGATACAACTTGTTATCAATAGTCCAGGTAGATTATAACCACATATATTAGTCGACCGACCAATGAAACGATCAATCAATCTATCAATATGCATACCTGAAATACACGAACCGTTGAGAGTTGGTGACTGTAAGCCGTACTCATGAGGCTAAAATGACTCCTTTAAGAAAACAAAAGTATGCACGCATATCCAGGAAGTGAATGCTGGTGATGGAGCAAAGCAGTGCGTATCAGATCATAAATAGTGGTCTTTAGTTTTGTTATGAATAACAGTCTGTTATTTTGTTCTTGGATACCTTTTGTTCTGTCGTGTGGTTTGATTGATGGGTGGTTAAATACCGGTGTTTTTGCAGCGCTGTGGCCTTTTGACAACAGTTTTGTTGTTCACAGATGTTTCGGTTTCTATATATACATCTGCTGTAAACGCCGGGTGGTTCTTTATGAACGGAGGGACATTGTGTGGTGTTAAGGTGCTCCACCCCTAAACAAATCCTCAATGAATATGTTATAATATTGGTCGACTTTGGCGTATGGTGTAATAACGCTATTTGAACTCAGCTTGAAAAGGGGTGAATTGGGGCCTATCTGGTTATTTGACAACATTAATCATAAATACCTCAGCAAGATGGGGGAACAGAAATGCCTAGTTCTATCTTTAGGGTCAAGTTTATATTTTCTATAGCTAAGCTCAGAGACAATGTGTCATACCGGTTTCAAGTGAAATTTGAGAGAAAATTATACTTTCTTCTGTGACGTTCACCTCTCGCAAGCTCATTACGACGTGCACCAGGTGTTACATGTACGGCGGCGCTTAATAAGCAGCTCAAACTTTTTTCTTCACTTCATGCATCACAGTTAGGCATGCTGTGCTTCGTTGTACAACATAGCATTGTACCATTGTACTTTTTTTTTCTTTTCATCTCAAAGTCTTGGTATAAAGTATAACATATTTTTGCGTGGAAATGTAATGCAAACAGGGACTTGTTAAAAAAGCAGTTCACTACCACGCTGAAGCTAGAGTAGTGACACGTCTGCAAGTCGACCGGCCACACCCAGTCGTCTACCCTCTAAAACATAGCGCGTCCGTAAAGAAAGCTCAGAAATATAAATATTGAAATTTTGTCATGCAAACTTAGCATATAACTGCATATTTAGTTTAGTTCGTCTCATAGAAGGCACCGCAAGTCTCGAAGAAAGTAAAGCTGAAACTTCGTACTGTGAAAAGGCCGGTGTGCAAGCGCTATTTCAAATTACATCGCTTAAACAATTGGGATCACCCTAGCCAACACCTGGCCATGCTTGCCAGCATTAGTTAGCACTTAGCCAACGCAAGGTGCCTGAAATCGTATAGCCACGTGCAACTGTTTAATTAAAGTCGCTATTTTGTCATTTTGTATTGTAATTAAAAGAGATGGGTGATTTGTAGAAAAAAAAAAGCTGTCCTCCAACATTTCTAGAATTCTGCAACCATTATTGCGGTGTTCTAATTGGTAAGCACATTTATTTATTAACGTTCAATAGCTAGCTTATTCTAATTTGCGTATACTCTACCACTTATGTTAGCGACATTTGTAATTACGATTGTTGGTACCGTTTATATTTATTAATGTTTCTACTCCGCATAGCCACACTATTTTCTTCATACCACGCGAAATACGTAATGTGAACGTTTACATAAACGACCAAAAGAGTACGACAGCTACAAAACAATAATTAATCATTGTTAAGTTAACTCTATCTCAGAGCGAGAGAACCACTGTCTGACATACTCGGCAACGTTTTTTATGCTCTGTTCTTTCTAATATTGTGTTCATGATGCGTATGAGCCATACTAAAACAGAAACCGAACTTTTACGGTAACATCATTATTGTCCCTTCAGGGAAGGCTCCAATCCGCCATTCCCGTCATTCCTACAGTTTTTTTGGAACCTCCTGAAACACACTCTCTGGGTAGGCATGAACGTCCCTTGTTGCATTTTGCTGAAAATCTTTTATGGTTTGGAAATTACTCCATTTGAGCGTCGCTTCGCGCCTAGGAAGCATAAAAATGCCTGCTGTGGCTAGGTGCTAATGTAGAATGCGGCGGGTAGTTCACCATGAGAGTGCAAATAATCAAGTGACCTTACAACTCAAAAGATTCTGGAAGGCTTGACGCATGCTTCTGGGAAACCTATTTGTCGGCTGCCACTTTATGCCGTATCGAGAGCATTTATGGTCAAACGCCGTCCAAGTCATGCTATGTGTGTTGCTTATGCCGAGCGAAAAGAGGGCGCGTTTTGTTTGCATAGTCATTCCGCAATCGTGGTACATGTGCTGTTTTCCGAAGGAATTTGCTCTACAAAACAGTTCGATTTCTGCAATCGACAAAGCTTCGCCCTTTTTGCTGAAACAAAACTAAAATTATTCGTCTTTCAGATTTATTGATTTTTGTCGATTTGGTGAGTGAGTGAGTGAGTGAGTTAACAAACGAACTTTGTTACAAGATCTGACTGGTTTTGTGGTTTTGGCTCGACCCCCACAGGTAGTGGCCAGGAGAACTCGGCTCCCTGGCCAGGTGGATAGATAAGTTTTGGTTTTCGACCTCCGCGGCACTATTTGCTACTTCTTCCGAAAGGTCTAGCGCCTGCTCCTGACGTTCACGTCATTATGGCAATTAGAGTTGGCTCCTATCTATACCTACCTTTTCACAGACAAGACGAAAGAGTGAATTCGAAAGGAAAACGTATTGACCTTATCATGGTTAAGGGTTGATTGATTGGTATGTGGGTTTAACGTCCCAAGACTACCATATCATTATGAGATACACCGTAGTGGGGGCTTCGGATATCATGGTGGAGGGTTGAAAGGAGCGTGGGAATAGCAGCAGTTGGCACGCCCAACTCACAATGGACGCGTTTTTGGAGATATATGACGCATACACTCCATAAAAACGCAGTTTTGGGATGCGAGTAAAAAATCACGGTGGCATGGGAGCCTTGCAAGCGTGTTCCGTTTTGCAACTAAAGGCAGGACGAAGTGGTGTGGAAATAAAATGTTGCGATAATATGATGCGGTAATCTTTTTATAATAGCGACAGCTATGCTTATTGCGGAACGTCACAAGCTTTCCAGGTTGATTTCTACCCTCGGGTGCAGCTTATTTCGGCAGTGGAGTGAAGATTACGGAAGTGGGCCTCCGGCACAATCACGTTACCTCGCTTGTAGGCCGACAGCTTGCAGCTGATCGCAGTTCTATATTATTGCGGCCTGCTCACAGTGTTAACTGGTTTAGAAAAACACATGCGTGAAAAAAATTGTTACTCGATGTTGAGCATCTCGACTGCTCAACGAACATTTCGGTGGCCCACTGCATCTTTTTCTTGGAGATCTAAACGGTGATCTGAACCTACTTAGCTGCCGCTTTATTGGGCCTCTCTGCGTGAATAAATAACCTACGATGCACTGGTAACACTAATGTGACATCACAAAGTTGATGTCCCACCGTGTTAGTGCTTCAATCTGTCTCTTTCAGGGACGTCAGTGGAGGCCATCTATAGTACAACTTACGTGACGTGTAGTCTAACTGCAATGCGTTGGAAGTAGTCCTGCATTACTTGAGTGTTCTTCTCAGCGGAAAATTGTAGCGAAAGTGAACATTTATTAGATACCCTCACATTTTAGTCAAGCATTCACGAAGGCTCGTCGGTCACTGCTGCCCTGCTAAACTCTTCATAAGATGTCATCGCTCGATCTCACATTCTGGTGACGCATGATGACAACGGATTTCGCGGCAAGCATTGATGCTGCCCCGCAGGCAATTTCACGTATCTGCAATCGACAAAGCTTTCGCCCTTTTTGCTGAAACAAAACTAAAATTATTCGTCTTTCAGATTTATTGATTTTTGTCGATTTGGTGAGTGAGTAAATGTGTGGGTGAATGAGTGAGTGAGTGAGTGAGTGAGTGAGTTAACAAACGAACTTTGTTACAAGATCTGACTGGTTTGTGGTTTTGGCTCGACCCCCACAGGTAGTGGCCAGGAGAACTCGGCTCCCTGGCCAGGTGGATAGATAAGTTTTGGTTTTCGACATCCGCGGCTCTATTCACCACTTCTTCCGAAGGGTCTAGCACCTGCTCCTAACGTTCACGTCATCATGGCAATTAGAGTTGGCTCCTATCTAAACCTACCTTTTCACAGACAAGACGAAAGAGTGAATTCGAAAGGAAAACGTATTGACCTTATCATGGTTAAGGGTTGATTGATTGGTATGTGGGTTTAACGTCCCAAGACTACCATATCATTATGAGATACACCGTAGTGGGGGGCTTCGGATATCATGGTGGAGGGTTGAAAGGAGCGTGTGAATAGCAGCAGTTGGCACGCCCAACTCACAATGGACGCGTTTTTGGAGATATATGACGCATACACTCCATAAAAACGCAGTTTTGGGATGCGAGTAAAAAATCACGTGGCAATGGGAGCCTTGCAAGCGTGTTCCGTTTTGCACTAAAGGCAGGACGAAGTGGTGTGGAATAAAATGTTGCGATAATATGATGCGGTAATCTTTTTATAATAGCGACAGCTATGCTTATTGCGGAACGTCACAAGCTTTCCAGGTTGATTTCTACCCTCGGGTGCAGCTTATTTCGGCAGTGGAGTGAAGATTACGGAAGTGGGCCTCCGGCACAATCACGTTACCTCGCTTGTAGGCCGACAGCTTGCAGCTGATCGCAGTTCTATATTATTGCGGCCTGCTCACAGTGTTAACTGGTTTAGAAAAACACATGCGTGAAAAAAATTGTTACTCGATGTTGAGCATCTCGACTGCTCAACGAACATTTCGGTGGCCCACTGCATCTTTTTCTTGGAGATCTAAACGGTGATCTGAACCTACTTAGCTGCCGCTTTATTGGGCCTCTCTGCGTGAATAAATAACCTACGATGCACTGGTAACACTAATGTGACATCACAAAGTTGATGTCCCACCGTGTTAGTGCTTCAATCTGTCTCTTTCAGGGACGTCAGTGGAGGCCATCTATAGTACAACTTACGTGACGTGTAGTCTAACTGCAATGCGTTGGAAGTAGTCCTGCATTACTTGAGTGTTCTTCTCAGCGGAAAATTGTAGCGAAAGTGAACATTTATTAGATACCCTCACATTTTAGTCAAGCATTCACGAAGGCTCGTCGGTCACTGCTGCCCTGCTAAACTCTTCATAAGATGTCATCGCTCGATCTCACATTCTGGTGACGCATGATGACAACGGATTTCGCGGCAAGCATTGATGCTGCCCCGCAGGCAATTTCACGTATCTCGAATAGGCACCTTCACCTCGAGTTATTGAATGAAATTCTCGTATTCGCTGTTATTCTCGACATGAATTGATAAGGTCTCGGAACGTCGAACGCGGTAACGCAGCCGTTTTCGTGTGAACACTTCCATCGTACAGCGCGGTTTGTTTAGTTAAAGGGTCTCAAACTCACCGCCAACGGGACGCAGTCAAAATTTACTCATGCAAGGGCCAGGAATGTCTAAAAAGTAAAAGCGGGGGCTATAGTTTGTACAGAACTTCAGTAAACGCTGTCGATTGTATAATTTTTTCCATACCCGATATATCGATATAGGTATGCGGATTTGAAGGGGATTTGGTGCCACGATACCAACTAGTTCTACCGTGTTCAAAATGACTAAAATTTGGACGCTGATTCTGATTGTTGTTTCATGGCTACGCGCCCACTTATGGTGATAGCGGGGAGAAGAGAGGAGGGGGGCTGTGTAGTTCACACGAGCATACCTACTAAGGAACTAAACAAGAAACCTATGGGACGAGGAGAGTCATGTGTGAGCCTCGGGCCTATATCGACAAGTCCGTGGGCCGCAGGCAGCCCGCGCATTTGAGAGTCTTTGTTTAACAGTTCAAGGTACAGAACAGGAAGGTTAACAGCCCTACATGACAGCACCGAGACCCATCTGTAAAATATACCATAGAAGTTTTGCGTACAAGCTCAGTAACGTGTCCTTGTCGGTCCATCAGGCCAGCCGCAGGTACGGCTTGTGCTTTTCTACGTCGTGGTTCCCTCCTCCCTGCGCGCAGTCGAGGTCCCACGTGTTCATGTGCTCGAGCGTCTTGTGCGTCTCGGAGCACACAAAGCCCTTGACGAAGCGCCGGTAGTAGGGCTGCATGCGGAGCAGCCACTGCAGCGCGTCGCACGTGCAGTTCATCCGGTTACCTGCGAAGCACGCGGCAGGCACTTAGGTAAAATACGCTAGGTGCAATACAAGCGACTTTGAGTGACGTATTCAACAACAACGCAGTACCAAGTGCAAAAAGCTTATATAGTCGGATAGCGCTTCAGAAGTCCAGAGAGGTCCCTCCCAGATGGTTGATCGCCTCCGCTACTAAATAAGTAAGCTCGCTCCTGCATTCGGCTTATGTGAGGCCACCGGCCGTCCGGCTCATGACGTCAGGCCGGAATTCGTGCCCATTGGTGCATGCTTGCGTGCACCCGCCTTTCAGGAGGAAATGCCGCTGACTTCTAAAGTCATCCAACTACAAATGCAAACCTACGGACAGCAGAAAACTTTGACGCATGCATGTGAACATTGCCGTCATGGTCCCAATATGTCAACTTGGCTAAAGTGAGGGGGTGGGGAGCTTGGTAGAGAAACTAAACTCGCTTTAAAAAAAGGCACTAAAGGGGGTGAAGAGTTTTGTAGGTGAACTAACGTCACTTTGAAAAAGGTACTGAAAATGGGTGTTTATTATTAAAGCGAAAACCTTAGGCACTTCATTCAAACGTAAAAAGTGGGCATCTTCGACGTCGGCACGAACATGAACTGTCCAAATGGTCACGTGACACAGATTATAGAAATATGGCGTAACAAATCTCCAAAAATCACTTTCGTCTTGTGGATCCCTGAGTGGATATATATAGCAAACAATTCTAGGGGGTGGGGAATCTATACTGTACACAGAGCAGAAAAATAACATGGCTTTCGTGTTCCAATCGTCTCAGACAAGTGAATAAGCCTGTGCGTGAATATTTTATCTCACGTCGATATGCGCTGCACAGTGTGTGTGTTTGTGTTAGTTTTTGCACGCGTTTACCCCAAACCACATCCATGTTGATCGACGAGTCCAAATGGTGGTGAGGCACCTAAGTAAACGCTCTACAGCATTCAAGAGACGCGTGTTCGCTTATTCATGCATGCTTAATAAACTTTTACTGTTATTCGTCAGCCAACCGATGCATTCTTCGAAGAAATCGCTTATTATCGAATCTCTGGTTCACGCTCGAACGTACTCAACCGGCACGCGCAACAAAGCGCGCTCTGCAAGCAGCCAAAGAGAGCAGCTAATGAATCAACGCCGTGACCGGAATATGGCGGGAAAAGAAAACAATCGCAAGTCATCCTTGCCACGGGCCGTCTACGCTCTGTGGCGTGCGTCATGGAAAAAGTAAGCGGGAGATCGTACTCGCAATAGTGTTAATCAGCTTGGCACCCTTGCTTAGATCACGACTGTGTGGCCTATACGGGCACGCTAGGGCTACGTCACGGATATACACCGACTCGAGCAGCGACGTGCACAGCACACAGATGGCATTGAACCAAGGCCGTTGTGTATAGAAACGAGCGCGTGGCGAGTGCATGTATCGGCCGGCCCGATCTCGCCATGCAACAGTGAACGCAAGAACCTCTCTTCCTCGTCGATCGTCCTCTTTTGTGTGCTCTCCCACGTTGCTTCTTTTTTTATATATATAAGGTAGAAGCTATCGTTCAGGCCAAGCACCTTGGGGAAAAACAAATAAATTACTTTTTGCCTTATTAATAAATCACTCATCCATAACAACAGGAGAAAGACATGCAGTGGGGAAACGAAGAAATCTCCGATTGCCTAGTGGGAAGCAGGTAGCGGGACACCAAATGATCAGGTTAAGGGTTTTGTAAACTCGGGAAATCGCAATAGAAAGAGAGAGAGAGACACAGCGACCAAACACTGTAGTTATACCCACTAGCTCGGCGTTACTCCTTTGATTTTGACGGCTCTTGTTCAGGCTTATGACCGGCAGCAGCAGCAGCAGCCCGACTACACCCCCTGGAGTACAGAGGAATCTCGGGTGTTTAGACAATAAACCTGGTCCTGTGTTTGCTGTGACCGCATCATCCCCCCAAACTTCAGCTCCCCCACCCCCTGACTTGGCCTTCATTCGCAGCTCTTGCATGCAGGACAGTGGCGCATTCAGAAACTCGCTTCTCTGGTCCCACGCGCCCAGGTACTGTCGTATGGTCTCCGGCTCATGCGGGTCTTGAGGAAAACGAGACAGTTGACGGTATACCACCCACGCGCTTACTCACCCGTCGTCGCCTCAGCCACTACCAGACCCGGGATTCAATTACGATCCGGCTATCACCTTCAGAGAGATCACCTTTCTTTATCAATCTTCTCATGGACTCTATCCCCTCCTCTGTACAGGCCTCACCACGGCGGAGGAGCGCTGGCTTGTGCGCCTCTTCACAAATGCTGTGCTGTGCCCGGCAGTATTAAAAAATTTCAATTCGGCCTTTTTCGGCCGCATGCCCATACTATACGGAGGAGTGCTGTGACGCCTGTAACATGGCGCGGGCGTGCCCGTCAAATCCCACCTACCCACTTCACCCCACTCGAGAGCACTTGGAAGCTGTCCTGTTCGGCTGCTCTGACCTCCAAGCCCAACAGGCATTGGTGGTTAGAGCCGGGGCCTTCGCGGCAGCCGCAGGGATACCGGACTACTGTTTTCGAAGGGTGGTTCCTTCAGACTCGCCCCGTTCATCAGACTCACCCCCGTCACACCTTTCGCTGTAAATATATTAATAAATGTTTTCCTCCACCACTCAGATAGCAGCTACCGCCAATGAACTCCTTTAAGAATGACCTCATCTAGCCATGGTACCCTCACTCCGGCAGCCTCCACTTCAAAAATACTCCACATAAAGCCCTCACTATTACCGTCCATCGCTTTGGAGCAGTGGTTATGGCGTTCGGATGTTGACCGAAGGCCGCGTGTTCGATCCCCGCCGTGGCGGTCGCGTTTCGGTGGAGGTGAAATTCTAGAGGCCCCTCTACTGTGCGACGTCAGTGCACGCTACAGAAAACCAGTTGGTCGAAGCTTCAAGAGCCATCCACTTCGGCGTCTCTCATAGTCATGTCGTGATTATTATTATTATTATTATTATTATATTATTATTATTATTATTATTATTATTATTTATTATTATTATTATTATTATTATTATTATTATTATTATTATTATTATTATTATTATTATTATTATTATTATTATCATTATTATTATTATTATTATTATTATTATTATTATTATTATTATTATTATTATTATTATTATTATTATTATTATTATTATTATTGACACTCGTTTTCGCAGGAGCGCATTATTAATTTTAAGTGGGGGTCAGATAGGCAAGTGTGATCGAGTGCCATTTTGTGCTCTGCATGTCCCGTGGCAAAGGATAATTTCTGGAGAGGCTCGAGACCTGTTTGCCTTAGCCTGCAGGTTACGCGCCCACTATGCAGGCACATAGTTAACCGATTTTGTACCTAAAGGTGACCTTCAGAATATGGCAGACCCATTCTGCGGAATCCCTTAAGGGGGAGGGGGGAGGCTTGAGAAACAAAAAATAGACAACCACCCGTTTTTTTTTTTTGCGCGTGCCACTAAGAAATCTGTAGGAATTTCATACAGTGAAAAGCTTCGTAGATGCCGCAAAATTGGTCCTGATCCGGGGATCGAAACCAGCGCCAACGCCTATCCGCGGCGGTCGCTCTACCATTTCGGCTAACCAGGAAGGGAGCAATTCGCAGTGCGTTGGGCGAATTAATCGACAACTCGAAGCTCACAGATACGTGCGGACGTAAATATCGATGGCCAGCAGATGATCACAGGAGATGTCAACCCTGAACGTGCCCCTGACTGAAACTTTGCTCGATTTCACGGGCCGCTTTGCTGAACACTCATTGCAAATCTTTACATGAACTTGCACACTCACGTTCTAATAACTTGAGCAGGACAGACCGACTGGCAGCGTCGAACAGCGTTTTCGTATGGAAGCACACGTGCGCGGGGTGGCACCCGAGCTCCCGCGATGACGTCACGCGTGTGAGGGTGCCACTCAAAGGTCTAGGGGCTGATTGGATTGTATGAACTTTTATTTGGTCCTCCGAAACACAGATCATTGTGTTGCGGGCAGCTCCCACGTGGAGACTGAGATGCCGAGCTCCTCAGCCGCCTCGCGGGCTTGGTGGACAGCTCAGAGCTGATCTTCCAAGGACGAGCTGTGAATTACCGCCTCCCGTCTGGCAGAGGTGATGTTCGATAAATGAGCGAATTTGGTACACTGCCAGAGCATATGTTCTAATGAAGCTATTTCACCACAATGTGGGCAAAGATTACTTCGGTATAGGTCAGAGTACTCGATGCGTAACATTTTCAAAGTATACAGGTACAGCGGTGAGCACGGTTATGGTGAACAGCGGTGTGCGTGGCCGCGCTCCGCGTAGCTCCAGTGTGCTGTTGCGGGCGTGCATCGAAGCGTAGCGACGCGTGTGCACACGGGCACACGGGAGTTGTTTTAAGTCGTCGGTTACATCATATAAGTGCGCCATTTCGTAGTAGCTAAGCTCCAATCTCGCTTGTCTGTAGTACAGCAAGAGCGGCGGGCTCGTGTGCGCCTGCGCCACTGGCATTTGATGCGCGGCCGCGCCGGCTGCACTGGCGCTCCGCAGAGCACTGCCACGCGAAGTCGTGTTCGCCCTAATGCCTAGTTCACACTGAAACATCCGCTTTCTACAGCGACCGAAATTCCTCTGCTGCCGAAACGCAGCGTCGTTCGCACTGGACGCGCCCCGCGCCGCCGAATATGCCATCTACTACGGGGCGAACGCGGGATGGATGCGCTGTCACCCGGTTGTTGTCGCGGCTTGCAAACGCTACTACGCTATCCGGTGGTGTATACTTCGACGATTCTCGTACGCAAGAAGCAAGAAAAGACAGTACTGCTTACTTTACTGGCAAGTGGCTGTCTTGTAATGCACGAAGAGCAGAAAAACCACCGACGCCAGTGGCGTTGGGGGGTTCGTTTTGCTCTGCAAGACCGCAACAAACTCGGTCACGCTAACAGCAAGCTCGGTCACCTCTTTCACGAAATACGGAGGCGAAGTAGGCACGGAGT